TCCGAGCGCGTCGATTCTAGGTAGAGACTTGAATCAGATTTTGAGTTGATTGCGTGCGTGTTGGGTGGGAGGTGGACGTACCCCGTTACCAAAGCCACCTGTGATACAGATGTCAATATCCGAGCAGAGTGTGGTACGAAATTGACTGCATACCGAGGACACCGTTATAAGTTGCAGGCTGGGAGTTCCAGTAGTCTATTCCGTCGTTCACCACTGGCTGGGGAGTCGATGTATCCGCCATGGCGTGAGCTTGTACTTGTATAGATGAAATCTGGCTGATTGAAGAAGGTGAGAAACAAAAGCTCGAGGAATATTTACGAGTCCAAGAAAGAAGACGAAGATGAATATTGAATTCTGGTGCAGATAAGATGCTGAGGACAAGCAAGAACAAACAACGCGTGTCAGACGCGTTGATCACGACGCGTCGCGCTCTGACCGATTCCTCTTGAACCAACCTCTCATTCGCGATACCACTACAACTCCCGTTATCATGTCCTTTTCTTTAGACGACATATGGAACGAGCCCGTGCAGGCACCTCCGCCTCGGGCACACACACACTCCCCAATACCCATCGACGTAGACGATGACGACTCTCTCCCAGGTCCATCTGCAGCAAAACGTCCACGAACCAAGCTGTTCCTCTCAGACTCTGAGGATGGCAGCCCAAAGAAGCCGACTACTCCACGACGAGGTACCACTTCCAATGTCAACCCCGATATCAATGCGCTGTTCGACGATCTCGATGGAGACGACGATGCGCCTCAAGGTCTTGCGCCGTCTCTGGATCTGAACGCGCTGCGACGCCAGGCTGCTTCCAGACACGTCGTAAGGGTGCCTGCACCTACGCCGCACGAGATTATGCCCAGTAGCTCTCCTCCCAGAGACGGCGACGGCGACGATGATGGGGATGGTGGGGGCAAGAAGGAAGCCGGAGAGAAGAAACGGAAAGTGTTGCCCAAATTGGACGAGGCTAGGTTGCTTGGTCCAGATGGATTTCCGGTGCTGGTGAAGCAAACGAAATATTTCAAACCGAGAGGAAAGGGTCATGAAGTACGTGCTCCTAACGTCGTATACAGCTCAGGTAACTTATTGTGCGTGGACAGGCAGCCGATTTAAACAGGCTTATGCAGATCTATCAGTTCTGGACACATAAGATGTACCCCCGGAACCACTTCGGAGAGAATGTGCAACGGATAGAGAAACTGTGCCATTCAAGACGTATGACGGTGCGTGTTCTGCTTTGTTGGTTTCGTGTCGCCTGTGCTCAATTGTACTCAGGTGGCAATGAGTGTCTGGAAAGACGAATCCAAGGGTACGATCCACGGCCGAAAGCCGACAGACGACCCCCTTGACATACCATCCGATGAGGAGCAAGAGGACGAAGAACGTCCGAGGGCTGCGCCAGCACGGGATTCCTCCATGAGCGCGCCGAGCTCACCTGCGGCTGGCCGCTCACAACCCAATTCCCCACCACCAAGACCACCATCATCTGCGTCTGAGCGTACTTCCGGTTTCAGTGACGATGACATCGATATCGACGCGCTCATCCAAGAGGACGCAGAACGTCAGACGGCTTCCTTCAACCGTGGTCCATCACCTCCATTGAACGACAACACAACCAATTACCGCACAAACGCAAAACCAGCCGCCAATCCAGACGACATGGACGACGATGACGATGCGTTATGGTCCTCATTCAATGATGCTAGCCTTTTCGACGACCCTTCGTTGACCGGGGGAACCGCTTCCGCTGCCACATCCGTCAACTCGGTCAGATCAGAACCTATGGACGATGACGAAGACGAGTGGCAAATTCTGCGGGAGCAAGAAGAAGAAGAGCAGCGCGCCCGCGCAAAGAAAGAAGCTAGTGCCCCTACGAATGTACAAAAGGAAGTGTCAGCTGGCGAACTTGGATCTGGACCAGCAGAACCAGGAGCGCCGCGACATACGGGTGATGAGGGTTGGGATGAGATGTATCTGTAGCGAGTACGTTACACGTGCATCCTAACAATGTAAACACATCGACCACTCTCTTCCTTCGATCTTTCGCCGTGGATTGTGGATCAATGGAGCTTCACTTTACGTCTGACGTATCGCGTTCCTACACTTGCGCATAACAGCAGAATCTGCATGTGTTCAGAGAATCAACGATTCGGCCACCCTGTAGAACCAAGACAGAACATCGTACCGTCACGACGACCAAAGTGGGCTTAACTGGAAGGGTGTAGTCGTTCTCCCCGTCTAGTGGTACATCGCTACCTGGTGCACTTGACATCAGAGGGGCGAACGCGTCTATAAGTGCTAGTCCAGTCAGGACACGGCTCATCTCTGATGGAGGGGTTTGGAGAGTGAGCAACGCAGCAGGTGACGCAACAGATGACATGATGAATCCGCTCATCGCGACACCTGTGATGCGAAAAACATGAGAAGACTAGAATACGAGCAAAAAATGGAAAGAACAAACCAATGCTCAAGCAGAGGAGGGAGTCCTCAGCTAACATGACTAACACGCCTACCGCACCCGCGGCCAGACTCCATCGTGTCATGAATAGTTCAAGTTCCCAGATCGGCACAGCGTAGTCGAATGGATCGGTTTGTTTCGTGGTCTCCGTGACACTCAACTGTTTCTCTGACTCTCCTGGCAATGGCTCCTTCGCTGCGGAAGTGACTGTCAAAGTGTTGGAGAATATGGATGGCGAGAAGTGAGTATAGAGAGCGACTATTGTTGGTATGGTGCAGAGAACAAGTGCGCCTCGCACAAATATCGAGGCCGCAACAAGAAGAAGTAGCTATAAAACAATGTCCGTATATTAGTTCATAGATACAAACACAGTGAATCGATCACACATACAAGAATGGGATGTTTCTTCGGAGGTTTGATTGCGGTATGGAACTTGAGGAGCGCCGTAGTCCTAATTGCCTTGAGGGTATACGAAGTCACGGTATATAACATAGTCAATCTGACGGTAGTGGGATCCTTGAACAGCAGATAGATCGGATCAATGATAGACCGCAAGGTCGTACCAAAGGACCAACTGACGGGGAGAGTCGTATCGTTCACGTCCGGAGGTGCGTCGCGTAGGAAGAAGGCAGCAGCAAGGATGTAGATAATCGGAAATAAAGGAACGAGACGAGAGATCCAAACTTGGCGTAGCCCAGAGCCAATAAGATGCTCAGTGTGATAGTGCCAATCTTTCTACCGGCCCAGTCCGCCGTAATGTGGAGATTGAAATAGGTGGATCGACGTTTCGGTGTCGCAGTAATTGCGATATAGGACCAGCCAATCGTCTGCCACAAGGCAACGGCCTCGCTGCTCCCGAGCAGCATTGCTGGGACCAGCAAGATGGGAGCCTCGGTATGCGTAAGATATGGAACAAATGCTAAAAGACTGCCATCAGCACGTCGACTCCGGATTCTTAGACAAGCGAATCTTACCGCAAATGCAAATCCAGAGAGCTGCGAAGGCACTCAAAAGGCCGCTAACGATCATTGCGATCTTCCTTCCTCTTCCATCCATGAGTCGTCCAAACGGCCCAGAGATGAGGCTGAATGATAGCAAAACAAGAATACGGAGCAAAATATGCTCTGTAGGAGATGTGTCCGTAGCACATACGTCGACTTCTGGGACGATAATTGGAGTGTTTTGTATGCATTGGTTGTACTGTATGTCGGAGGAAAGGGTTTGCAAAGACTGAAGGGCGAGGCTGGATGCTTGTCCTTGCAAAAACGTAAATAACAGGATGACTGCAGGGTGACCGGGGCGTGGTCGAGCCGAGAAATCGCGGGAATCCATGGCGAAGGGGATGTCTGCCGCGTCGTTGCCCGTGCTTAGCTGCTTTTATGGGAACAACTCGGTGTATTTGTTGCGCAGCCCATTGACTCCTGTCAAAGCGCGTGCACGCGCCGGTACTTGGTAAGTATCCTGATTGTACCGGCGACTTGTTGTGACTGTGATGTCAAGTGAGTCAGTGGAGGTCGTCTGCAACACATCGAAGCAGATATCACCTCGTGAAGGGAGTGAGGCGGCCGAAGATGAGGTAGGAATGTATCGCTCTACGCCACGGACGGGGAAGCAGCAGCTCCGAGTGGTTCCTACTGGTGAAAGCGCTGAGACCGGATCCTGAGGAAGACTTGTCCTGCTCTATCATCAGGAGACCGGGGCGATGGGCGTTGTACTACAATACACATTGACGGTCATAGGTTCAGAACAAGCTTGCCACGGCGGCCCTTGATGCTTGATGTTCGGAAGCATCATTAGAAGATAGGTACTGCCCACAGATTGCGCGGCATGAGACTTCAGAAGGCTGAAAGTCTGGGGCCTTGGCGTTGCCAACGAATTCGAAGTGTCTATCTCTGAATTCAAATTGGGCTAAAAGCTCATGAGGCGTCCTAATAGTGACCTCGACTTTCACATGACTGCATTCTGGTGAAGAACCGGCTTTCAAAACACAGCACCAACTTGGAGGTGAAATAGTTACACACCTTCAGAGCGCCGAGTTTGTAGCCATACGTGTTGACCATACAATAACGAGACACGCGATACAATACGATACCAGTTTTGCACTTGACTCCGCAAAAGCCCTAGGTCATCAATCGTGCATTATGGTCATTCAACGACCCATTGTTGACCGAGATAACAGATTCTGTCGCCATGTCTGTGAACTCGGCGATGTTAGAACCTGTGGATGTGTCAGACGACCATGAAGACGAAGAGCTGCAGAATCAGCGAGAGCATGTTGAAGATGAGCGTACCAAATCAAAGAAACAGGCTGGCGGTGGTCACCGACATGTTAGGAGGACGCCACAGCACGAGAGCACCTCGGGGTTTCCCGACGTCCGATCGCAGAAGCATCTGCCGGAGTGCTTCTTGGTCGCAGTGGTTACATCGTCAAAAATGCTGAGGTCTTGACGTTGTCAAGTCTGCAGTTTCCGGAAATCTTCATGTTTCGCCTTGAAAAGACTCTCAGATTATAGCTTAGAGCGGCTAGTATCCAAATTGTGCCCCATGGCTTAGCTTGGTTAAAGCGTCCGACTGTTATCGTTTCAAAAGTGGTTTCATCGGAAGGTCGTGAGTTCGAGCCTCACTGGGGCAGCTCTTTTTTCATCTTCACACTCAAGGAATCTTTGAACCGAACAGAGCTACGGTTTTCGTAGCACGTTTCACCCTTGAAAATGTTCTGTCGACCTGCTTTCCGTCCTATGAGCTGTGTGGAAGTATAAGCGCTCAGTACGACCTCGGGCCCAACTCAGCCATGTGCGGTGTAGACGCGATCATCATTGCTACAAGGGCCATACGATCTTAGCATCCATCTTCCTCATACCCTCCCCCTTCTCCCTCTTTTGCAGTCGAAATGTCGGGAACAGGAGCTCGAGAGAACATCTTTCCAACGCGTATGGCGTTAACGAATACCAAGCTTCGTCTGAAAGGAGCTCAGACAGGACACTCATTATTGGCCAAGAAGCGGGATGCTCTGACAACACGGTTCAGGGCGATCTTGAGAAAGGTTGACGAGGTGCACCTTCATCTATGATTCAGTCCTGCACGAACTCTGAACCCGGTTCATTTGGATGTAGGCAAAGCGGAAGATGGGCCGGGTCATGCAGTTAGCGTCGTTCTCTCTAGCAGAAGTTACCTACGCCACGGGTGACATCTCCTACCTCGTACAAGAACAAGCCAAGTCTGCATCGTTCAAGGTCAAAGCAAAGCAGGAGAATGTATCCGGTGTTGTTTTGCCTGCGTTCGAGGTCGACAGGGTACCAGGGACAGGTGAGTACCGGGCTTGTATCGTAGGGTGGAATAAAGCTCACGCTCATTCTTCCCCAGATTTCAATCTCACAGGTCTCGGACGGGGAGGACAGCAGGTACTCAAGTCAAAAGAAGTTTATGCTAAGGCTGTCGAGACACTCGTCGAGCTTGCGTCACTTCAGACTGCCTTCACAATCCTGGATGAGGTCATTCGTGCAACGAATCGCCGTGTAAATGCAATTGAGCACGTCGTTATTCCTCGACTTGACAACACGATCAAGTACATCACGAGTGAGCTGGACGAGATGGACCGAGAAGAGTTTTTCAGGTGCGTCACTGGAACATCCTCTTTTGCTAGAGTTGTACTCACGCCGCATGCCATAGACTGAAGAAGGTGCAAGGCAAGAAGAAGCGGGACGCAGAAGCAGCAGAGGCGATGAGGATAGCAGCCGCAGCAGCGGATGAGAATGTTGAAAACATTGAGATTGGCGGGGGCGGAGGCGATATTATCGACAGTAAAGACGAAGATGTTATTTTCTAATTTCACGTTCGCACTTGTGTATCATCGCATTTGGAGGGTTTGCTGTCAACGGACTTCTCTCATAACCATCTCAATCCAAGCATGCAGTTTCAGCCCGCAATCGCCAATTCATGACTGATCTCATGTTGCATATCGGTGTGGTAAGTCGTGATGCGCATACATACATGTGAGGCAATTTTGTGAGATGATGCGGAAGCCAGGCAAATGGTAACATACAAAGACGAGGCGAGTGGTTTACTGTGGAAAAGCGTCAGCCCGCTACTCAGACTCTAGGTAATCGCAGAATACTCACGTCAACCATCTCGACATCAGCATCCTTCGTCTGCGCAGTCTTGTTCCTGTCCTTCCTCTCCAAGATCGCTCGCCTGGTGAGCGCGTCAGCTGCTGGAGCAACGAATGAAAATGAAAATCCAACGCACCTGTCCTTGTCGAGCTTGATGCTGGTGATGACAACATTGCTTGGGTGGATACCAATGGGCGCGGTAGCACCGTTGGACTTGTCACGTTGTACCCGGTCAACGTGGATCACCCACTTCTTCCTGTAGACCTGGGTGACCTTGCCCTCCCGACCCTTGTACTTCCCGCGTACAATCCGGACCTCGTCGTCTTTACGGACAGGCAGAGAGCGAGTCTGTAGAATAGGGAAGGGTTGTTCATTGCGAGTTCAGAGATCCAGCGGAGGAATCACACACGTTGTGCTTGCCTCGGAGCTCCTTGGAGAGCGCAGAGGACATGATTTTGCGGCGTATCGAGGAAGGCGCAGAGAAGTGGGCCTTGCGGGCCTTGCGCCTTGACGAGGAGGTATCTGTCGATCATGAATAGCGAGAGAGATACACAGTGGTCAGTTAAGATCGTTCGACTGAAATGAAGCACACCAGCCCAGTCTCATCCGACATGCCATCCACCCATCCATCCAATTCCGCCTCATCCACCACACAAATTCCTACTCCCAGCATTCCTACAGCACTTCCAGATACGCCAAAGACAGAAACTAACCGGGGTTGAACTTCATCTTGACGGTCTTGAGGATAGTGGGCGGGGGTACACAGAATTCGTCGGGTCGTCGAGCCTGCAGCGCGCAATCTTCAAGCGCGCACCTTCCTCATTTGGATGGCAGTATGACCATGAGCGTCTATTGCTCACCGCCGCTCTTGCCGCACTCATCATGTCGGAGAAGGTACGCTCAACCAAGCTCAAATTCAAGGGGGAGAAGACACACAAGAAACGAAAGAGGGAAGGAGAGGATGAAGACAACAGCAGCCGTTGTCGTCGCAAAAACGAGGACGACGAAAACGACGACACCTGGGTTCTCCCAGAGCAGGCAAACGAAATCCGTGGTCCAACATTCGTGCTCCATCCTTCCGACACATCCCCCATATGTGTAACCTTCGACTCTACTCGTGGCAAGATTGTGCTGCACTCTGTCAACAAAGACAAGACGGAGGAGGGCGCAGCATCGACATCGATTCTAGAGCGAACACCGACAGAAGTCTCTCAGGTCTGGGTTACTACCCGAGTTGCTGGCTCCCCCACAATAAACTTGCGGACTGGAACGGGCGACGGAAAGTTTCTCTCTTGCGATAAGCATGGTCTTGTCTCTGCATATCGGGAAGCTCGCGGACCGGAGGAAGAATGGACACCAGTCGTATTTCCAGATGGCATGGTGGCATTCCAGAACGTGTACGAGAAGTACTTGGGTGTCGACGAAGTAGCCGGTGGTCAGATGTCCCTACGAGGTGATGCGGAGGAAGTGGGTTTTGGCGAACGCTTCATTGTCAAGATTCAGAACAAATACAAGAAGGAGGCACACGCAGAGGAGAGGAAGAAGCGAGAGGGTTTGTCGATCGACGATAATTTCGACGAAACCACGGCAAAGTACGTCTACTTTTGTACTCAATGACGCGATGTTCTGACATGTTCCTCAAATATCAGCAAGACATTTCAAGCTTGGGGAGCTGGCCGGTCTGTGGTTTCCACCCATGACAAGAAGGATGTACGTGCTATACTGTGACTTGTGCAGAGACAGAGTTTGACCAACGTTTTCGATAGTTAAAGAAAGCTAAGAAGGAAGGCCGGTTGGCCGAAGCTTTGCTGGATCGACGGGCGAAGCTGAAGAGGTACGGGTTGTCTCTATGGGAACTTTTGTTTTCCGCTTATTTCAGCCTCCCTACAGCGACCGCTTTTGTTAGTAGTCTCGTACGCACTGAGCGAGGTGCATGGACCACTTCTGTACCGGAATATATTGTATACTACGTTTCTCTGCATCATCTGTACTGTCATGCGCACTGCCATTGTCACAAGTTGTCGCGGGCTCTGCGGAGATGGTAGCGGTTTTGTTCGCGTTAGTGATAGTGCGCGCCTAATCGACGCGAATACAAATTAGAAAGGTCGCGTTCCGGCAGCGCGTGGCCTTCGCGTCCTCATTTTCTCTTTCTCCCCATCACCGTCGCAATGGTCCCCAAGCACACCTCTATCACAGAGGCCTACACCATCCTCGGATTGCAGGAGGTAAACGGTCTCGTTACGTCTCGAAGTCACCGGTATCCTCACTACGCGCCTCCTATAGGGTGCCACCTCGGAGGAGGTCAAAAGCGCGTACAAAAAGGTATTGTCACCGTCGAAATCCAGCGGATCCGCACTGACTACTTGCATTAGCTCGCGCTGAGAACACATCCGGACAAGAATCCCGACAATGAAGATGCCACTGTGCAGTTTCAGCGAATCGGTGAAGCGTACAACGCCATTCAAAAACACTTAGATAAGGGGTCGAGACCTGCCAGGGGTGGGCCCCGTAGACCACCGTTTGGATACAGTTATTCCGATGAAGACGACGACGAATACTACGATGACGACGACAGTTATGATGATGATTACGAGGACGACATGGACTTCTATATGTGCGTTCTCTATCGTCTGACATGATCTGCTGGATATCTGACAGCAGCCTCAGGTTCATGTTCTCGGAATTCATGAACAGCCACTTCAGACGCGGAGGCTACACGCGTGAGTACTGCTGCCTCGACGCGTCCTTACGATATTGAACCTTCAACCTCCACTCTTAGGTCGTGGGTTCTACAGCAGTAGCGGATCTCGTTCTTATTTCTGCGAGCACTGCAATAAGCATCATGGAGGCTCTCCAGAACCCACGGAAAGTCCAGAGCAGTACCAGGCGCGTCTGCGCGCTGCGCGTGAAGAGAAGGAGGCAGCGGCCCAGCGACGTATTCAGGAAGAAGCCGCCCGTAAAGCTCAGATCGAGAAAGAGCGCGAAAGAGGTGTGTTCACTCAATTTAGCCACGGACGCAGGTGTTCATGTCCACTCTTAGAGAAAAAAGAGGCCGCTGCTCGACAGAAGAAGAAGGCGTCCGACAAAAAAGCACAGGCAGAAGCATCCCGCCAGTCCGCGAAGGACGCTGCGCGCCAGCAACTTCAGCGCTCGCAGACACTTCGCTCCGAAGTGTTCGCCGCTGCGCGTCGCGGAGAAAACGAGAAGGTCAAGAAAGGCATCTGGGAAGATTCTGTGGACGCTGCGGGCGGCGAAATCAAGCGTGGCGGCGAAGAGTTCGTCAAGAACCCGCCCAAAGACCTCCAGGAGACTTTGATGCATCTCTGTGTGCGTCATGGAGATGTAGATTTAATCGAGTGGCTTGCTACCCACAGTACGTCGAGTCCATGCCTCGTATCGCTCAAATTCTTATGAACCCACGTTCTCCCCAGATGCCGACCCGGAAGAGCGCAACAAGGAAGGACTGACGCCATTCCATGTCGCCCTTCAGCTTGGCAAGATGCCGATCGTGGAGTACTTCTTC